AAAGAAATATGTTTATAGAATTTATTTAATATTCTATAAACATATATTCCACTATGAGGTGTATTTATAAAACAACTTATTTCCTGCACATTACACATCATATTTATTATTATTGTTACTTATTTATTAAGCTAAAATAATAATTATAAGTGACATATAATAAATACATTTTAATTATCAAAAATTCTACTTTATATATTTTATATTCTTAATTACAAATCGACTGTAATCTAAAATACTTTTTATTAAAATAGATTTGAATAATTAAGGACTTTCATATCACATACCTCACAAACATGCTGTCGGTTCCTTTCCAGTTTGTTTCTTTTCACTTTTGTTTTTCCCAAAGTTTACCACGTGCAGGATCTTTCGGAAAAACTTTCATGAAAAATCCTTTCTCCGTTGTTTGGAATAATAATGGCGGCTTAAGGCCAACGTTTCTTATATGACCACACTCTCGATATAGACTCTCGACTTTTCGCTTCGGCATTACATTATTTCGTTCCCGGAGCCGTAAGAAATGAGAGAAAATTGTTTTCTTTTTATCTTTTAATTTCCCAACGTCGAGTTCGCTAGAAAATTTTATGGCAATAAACCCGAGGTTCTAGAACGCACAACGTTCAATACACCGAAAGGCAGAGAGTTGTTTTTGAGATGATATTTAATGGTTTTTGTTGATTTTTTTTAAAACTTCCCACAAGGTTTATCCTACAAATTCTTGGGTAGTTGATAAGGATTGCGGGTACCAGATATTTATGTGTTTAGTTTAACCAATTTTATTGTATTCTCACACGATCTGTCCTAGAAATTCTTGGTTGTTTTCGAACGTTTCTACCGTTTTATAAGGTAGTTTTTGCTTTATTTTTAATTCCTGATTCTTGTAATCGCTATATAGTAACATTTTTCTCTCAAAGTACGGCGATTGGGAGATGGTTTTTTCTTCGTTTTTTGTGATTTTTGATGCAAGTGACCTGGATTTCAATGGGCTTCGTGATTCTTCTTTGCCCCCATAAGATCTGCCCTAGAAGTAATATTTTATATACTACTTAATAAGATGTTGGATATTAAAGCACTGTTGAATTGAGAGGCAAAAATCCTGTTTTCCTCGAAAATTTCCTATGGAATACGTATCCGTGGCAAACGATTGTCGTACAGTCTCTAAAAAAAAATCAGTCTATGAAAGAATCAACTTGGGTATTAACAAACGAGATCAGCCATCGATCGCTTAATTGTGGCAAGTTACTTCCTTGTTAAACACGACACCGCCATTATATACAATGTCATGGAAGCTTCTCGTTCTGTTGTTGAAATACGAAGAAATTCGAAGCTAGATATACTATTTATCATCGCGCGAATCACATGTAGCCGATCAGCAACGAGTAATACGGTTTCGCGTCATTTTNGTCAACATGGAGACATTTCACCTTTCGGAACACGTCCGAATGGCGAAATGTCTCCTCTCCGTTCAACGCGGAACAGAGAATGCTGTCGACATCCGCTATTCCCGAAGGCGATCCCGTGAAGGAAGAACCCCTTCCGCGATCGATGGAAGAGAGTTCCTCTCCCCGCTCAAAAAGGGAAAAGACCCTCTCTTCATCGATTGCGGAAGGAGAACGCCCTTCACACTTCTTCGTCTTCTTGGGCCGCAGCCAACGCCAAAACCGCCAGCTCTTCATCCTGTAAAGAAACAAAAAAATATATATATATTAATGGGATGCGGATATACTTAACGCAGAAAAAGTACAAGATAATACTCACGACAGAGCTCGCGCTAGATCCTAGCGGAAATTGCTAGAAGGTTCGAAATGCATTTGCAGTAGAGACGACCTCTTACATGTAATTTGTATTTATTTGTACGTAAAGACACGCCGCACGTACTCGATCTCGAGCCCAAGTCGTAACAAGTGTTTCGTTCTAGAGCAATTTACCCTAACGCAACGACGGCATTTAAGAGAGAAATTCCGTACGAGAGTCGACGAAAACACAAGACGAACGTTTAAGTGGCACAAAGCGTTTGCAGAGGGTTACGTAAGTGTGGAAGATGGACTGCACTCAGAAAAGACCGCATTGTGGAAAAGAATTCTTTGCGTCCAGCCTGTATACATAACTGTAAGTGTATTAGATGTGTTTTAAGTAGTACAGAGCTGCAGACAATTTAATTCTCGCAAACCGTTGTAACTAATACATAGATTTAATGGAGAAGTCGGACGTTAAAGGGCTAAATTTTTGACGTCCCGGATGTCATGCTTCAGAATACGGTCTCTGTCGAGTGTATATTTTAGTTAAAATTACGATACGCAATTCGTATTTAGAGTTAGTATTAAATAAGTTTTAATTGAATAAGATATTTGCAAATACAGCAGAGCATCGATTATCCGACCCCCGATTAACCGACCGTCCTAGTCGGCAAATTTCAAATGTCCGATATTGATGTGGCGCTACAATATTTGGCTATGTCTTGGCTACTTTAATATTATTTTTACGTGTTTTAGCTGGCAACACTCGACCATGGAAGGGAGCCAGTATTTAAACGAAGCTTAATTTTCTAATTTTTAACGATACAATAGCGACGATTATTATTTTAAAAATTTTTTGTTAGGCTTAACATCGATGAAAATTCAACGCAAAATAGGTTAATAGCGATATACTAATTACATGGTATATAATAATATACTACACTAATAATGGATTTTTTCATACTTTTCGGTTATCCGACTTTTCAATTATCCGACCAACCCGAGTCCCCAATTAGGGCGGATAATCGAGGTTCTACTGTACAAATGAATGCTCGTATAAAATGGACTTTTTAGAAAAAAAAAGAGCAATGTTATAATTAGAAAATTGAGACTTTGACCTCCCATAAACAACTGTAACAATACATTTCTTTTTCGTGACTTAAAGGCCCATCTTATTTGTGAACAGGAATTACAACTTGACTTTAGACAAATATCAATTTAGCTCTGGAAATGATAATTTTCAATTAAGTGTAGGCCTATTAATTTTTTTTTTATCGTTAATATATTCGCTTAAAATTAAACATATTTACTAATTGGAGTATATTGCTTAAAAGAAATATGTTTATAGAATTTATTTAATATTCTATAAACATATATTCCACTATGAGGTGTATTTATAAAACAACTTATTTCCTGCACATTACACATCATATTTATTATTATTGTTACTTATTTATTAAGCTAAAATAATAATTATAAGTGACATATAATAAATACATTTTAATTATCAAAAATTCTACTTTATATATTTTATATTCTTAATTACAAATCGACTGTAATCTAAAATACTTTTTATTAAAATAGATTTGAATAATTAAGGACTTTCATATCACATACCTCACAAACATGCTGTCGGTTCCTTTCCAGTTTGTTTCTTTTCACTTTTGTTTTTCCCAAAGTTTACCACGTGCAGGATCTTTCGGAAAAACTTTCATGAAAAATCCTTTCTCCGTTGTTTGGAATAATAATGGCGGCTTAAGGCCAACGTTTCTTATATGACCACACTCTCGATATAGACTCTCGACTTTTCGCTTCGGCATTACATTATTTCGTTCCCGGAGCCGTAAGAAATGAGAGAAAATTGTTTTCTTTTTATCTTTTAATTTCCCAACGTCGAGTTCGCTAGAAAATTTTATGGCAATAAACCCGAGGTTCTAGAACGCACAACGTTCAATACACCGAAAGGCAGAGAGTTGTTTTTGAGATGATATTTAATGGTTTTTGTTGATTTTTTTAAAACTTCCCACAAGGTTTATCCTACAAATTCTTGGGTAGTTGATAAGGATTGCGGGTACCAGATTTTGATGTGTTTAGTTTAACCAATTTTATTGTATTCTCACACGATCTGTCCTAGAAATTCTTGGTTGTTTTCGAACGTTTCTACCGTTTTATAAGGTAGTTTTTGCTTTATTTTTAATTCCTGATTCTTGTAATCGCTATATAGTAACATTTTTCTCTCAAAGTACGGCGATTGGGAGATGGTTTTTTCTTCGTTTTTTGTGATTTTTGAGGCAAGTGACCTGGATTTCAATGGGCTTCGTGATTCTTCTTTGCCCCCATAAGATCTGCCCTAGAAGTAATATTTTATATACTACTTAATAAGATGTTGGATATTAAAGCACTGTTGAATTGAGAGGCAAAAATCCTGTTTTCCTCGAAAATTTCCTATGGAATACGTATCCGTGGCAAACGATTGTCGTACAGTCTCTAAAAAAAAATCAGTCTATGAAAGAATCAACTTGGGTATTAACAAACGAGATCAGCCATCGATCGCTTAATTGTGGCAAGTTACTTCCTTGTTAAACACGACACCGCCATTATATACAATGTCATGGAAGCTTCTCGTTCTGTTGTTGAAATACGAAGAAATTCGAAGCTAGATATACTATTTATCATCGCGCGAATCACATGTAGCCGATCAGCAACGAGTAATACGGTTTCGCGTCATTTTCTACAAAGCGAATGATGATGGATAGATATACCGACCGAGAAATTAGTTCGTAATTTTCATTATTTCCACCCCTTTATTATTAACGAAATAATTCTCGTTTCTTCTCACAAATAATACGTGTCACTAAGACGATCGTTTCTTCCCGCCAGATGGCACACTTCATACAAACGGCTGGTATCGCCCGGAAGTCACGTGATTACGCTTAAACGTGTCAGCCATAAAAGAAAATGGCGGCTCGCAATAAAGGAATCGCTATTTTCTTGAAATCAACCCGAATTTACGAAAACACACACGCTACTTTTGAAAAAAAAAAAATGTAATGTAAAACACCACGTCACCGAATATACGAATTTTTTTTCCGAATAAAAAATGAAATTGTAATTTTTTTTAAAAATGCAAATACTTGCAGTTTATTGACACTTGTGCACTTTTTTAAACTCTTATCGACTTACATTCATAAAAGCTCTTCTTCTTCTTCTTAAATTAATACAAAAAAAGAAAAATGTACAATGAGGACAGGAGAAAAAAAAAAGTTTTAAGTTTCTTCATACAGTGCTTTATTGCAGCAAAAAGTCAACTACATACAACAGATGTTCTGAAAAGGAAAGCAACCGTTTATAACTTTACAAGTCTGTACCATTAGCTTCCGAGAGGAGTGACAGGAGGCAGTACTTTTTTTTTGTTTGTGTGTACATATTCTGCAGTTATACATAGCCCACATAAGCGTTATAACCTACCTAACAAATTGGAATACTGGAATTAACAGTCGTATAAAACAATACAAGCAAAAACTGAAAAGATTCCTTTTGTTTTCCTCTTAATAACAATCGTGTCATTCACGTGGGGGCGATGCCCTTTCGCTAAAGGGCACCACACTCGTTAGCACTGTCACTCCCTGCCATGCTCTCGTTTGACCGTTAAAGAAACCCAAACAACCCTAAATGGTAGTGTCAGTTTCGAAACAAAGGGAAAAAAACAAAAAAAAAAAAAAACATCTCTCTTTTTTTTGGTCGTTCGAGAATAATTTGGCTTTTACTATAATATTTTGACTTTTTTGTTTGTTTTTTTTATTCGGGTATTGTCAATTTTTCGGAACACAATTACATTTTTTTTTGTTTTGAAACACGAATGCAAGAATCAAATGACGGAGGGGGGAAAATGGAGGTGGGACAGAGTTCACTCCCCGCAGTATTTGTTTTATGGAGTGTGTTGAACGGGAAGTAATCCGAGTTTACGGAATTAGCATCCGGTGACTTTTCTGCGAAACCACTACTATTTTTTTTATATAAGCTAATGGCAGCTCTTACTTATACTGTATATAACGTACACAGGAAGGTGTACAAATTGTTTACACCATAAAACACAAAATTAGCTTTTTTTTAAATCATCTACACAATCCCTTTGTGAATGTTCACCATTTTGGTCCTCACTCTTCTCTTTCTGTGTCTGTCTCTCGTGTAAAATCTGTCTCCACTCATCTTTTTTTAAATTTTTTTATTTATGTATGTATTTTTTTGACTTATTTCCTCGTGTATGTAGATTTGGGATTGTATTTTTTTTTTACTATAGATTATCAGACCAATAAGAAAGTCTTATAGTTAGTTCTGATTTGTTAGGAAGTAATCTGAAGTTATAGCGAGTGATTCCAGATTGTATGGCTTCCAACAGAAGTGACAATGCTGTAAATCACAGCAACACTAGCTATCAGCTACATATTAGATAACCACAGGTGCCCATCACATGCAAAATGTAAACTATTATTTCCACATTTCTAGGAATTTTTTTTCTAACTCTTAGAAACCTGACTAACTATCGCAAAATACCAAGGCGTGATGATGATAGTATAGTAGTATTAGTAATTATCTTCCGGACCCTTCGGACGACAATTCCAGTTTTTCTTCCCATCATTGTCCGTCTTGTAAACATTCCGTATAGGAGGGTACACATTTTGCACGACACTCACAAAACGAACAAAGAAAATGCATTTTTAAGTTTTTCTCGGTGGAGGGAAAGTGTGCCACAGACCTTACAAATATTCGACTGCTCTCCCCCCGGATAATTGGCATTGTTGTTTTTTTCACTATAAAGAAAAGCAGGAGGTCGTATCCTATCGACAGAGGACTGGGTGATGGGATATAAGTAAAGCCAAAAACCATCCCTTCAATTTTACATTATTCCCAGAGCACCGCTGTCCCATCATCCGTAGAAAAATACCAGAAATACATTTGGTATTAATGTTGAAAACTAATTGATAGCTTGAAAACTGCTCATTCTTCGAGCTTATCCTTGTTTTCGATGGCCTTTTTAGTATCGGCTTCACCTTGAGACAGTGTCGGATTAGTGGGTATTTCGTTGGCCTTCAATCCTTTCGTGTCTTCGATGCTGGCATTTGATGTACTTGTTCGCTTTTCTAATCCGCTATTCTCTATCTTTGCCTTTCCACCTGACGTCTGACTAAAAAACATGTGAGTTTGTTGGACAGCTTCGGCTCTCAGTTTTGCCTGCTGGGCCGAAGTCAGCTGGGCAGTTACTTTGATCCCACTGTTCTGTAAAAATTAAGGAGGAAAAAATAAGTCATCATTTCTACATTACCAATATTAATATACATCAGATAAATTATTACATAAAAAGACCATTTTTTCATAGTAGTATATTCTCAGAAATTCTACATAAAGGGCTGCCTAATTTGAGGAATCCATAGCAGAGCCTCACTGTAAATTCCTGTCCATACCATTATGGAAGGAAAAATATACTTGGACTTCAAGCTGTCCAAGTATATTTTTCCTTTAGGCAGTCAAGTACAGTACAGCCAGCATCGTTATCACTATATGAATTAATTAGAAATGGGTATGTATCAATTTTAAGTTTTAATATTAACAAGATCTCTAATATCTCCAAAGCTCAAACACCCCCAAATACTTAGTGAACTTACATTACCTTAAATAACAGTGTTTAATATTTATTTCAATAATTTATTTATTAGTAATTCGAACACAAATCATTTATTGTGTTTATTCAGACATTTGGCAAATCTCGTCATTAAATTTTATTCAGTTGATACGTGTTCATTGTATTTTTACACGTTTCGGGCATTCCTTTAAAATAAAAGTTCACAAGTTACAACAGTTTTATAAACAAACAAATAAGGTCATGTTTTCTAAACATACCTTTTTTGATTACAGATTACTGAAAGTTAAAATTATAAAATTTTTCTGCACATTTAACTTGTTTGTAAGGTTTGTACCTTTAAAACACTTTTACACATACCACTTCTTATTATCTAAAGATTTTACATTAAATATCTTGTATACAACTATTTTGATAACAATACTACAAATTACGTACCTAGTTGTTCATTTTGAAATTTAAACAATTTAAAAATTTTTCCTTGTACATTTATTATCACGCTCAAATCGATTTAACAACAATACTAAAATTTACATACTCGTCTTTCATCTAAGTCGAAGACAAACATATTCCGCCGATCTTTCCTCCCTCTTTTTCCCCCAGTTGAGCTTGCCCACTGTTTTCTACACAGTATATAAGATGTGGTATATAAAATTCATTGTACTTGTAACAATAATAAATATTATATAGGAGAAACTAAAAGGAAGTTAAAAACCAGATTAAAAGAACATATGGCAGATTTAAAATATAATAGAATAAATTCTGCCTTTCATGATCATTGCACTCTGAATGATTGTAACATTGATAAAGATAATCATTCAGATTGCAATGATCATGAAAGGCAGAATTTATTCTATTATGTTTTAGATCTGCCATATGTTCTTTTAATCTGGTTTTTAACTTCCTTTTAGTTTCTCCTATATAATATTTATTATCGTTACAAGTACAATGAATCTTATATACTGTGTAGAAAACAGTGGGCAAGCTCAACTGGGGGAAAAAGAGGGAGGAAAGATCGGCGGAATATGTTTGTCTTCGACTTAGATGAAAGACGAGTATGCAAATTTTAGTATTGTTGTTAAATCGATTTGAGCGTGATAATAAATGTACAAGGAAAAATTTTTAAATTGTTTAAATTTCAAAATGAACAACTAGGTACGTAATTTGTAGTATTGTTATCAAAATAGTTGTATACAAGATATTTAATGTAAAATCTTTAGATAATAAGAAGTGGTATGTGTAAAAGTGTTTTAAAGGTACAAACCTTACAAACGAGTTAAATGTGCAGAAAAATTTTATAATTTTAACTTTCAGTAATCTGTAATCAAAAAAGGTATGTTTAGGAAAACATGACCTTATTTGTTTGTTTATAAAACTGTTGTAACTTGTGAACTTTTATTTTAATTTAGTTGACTGAAGAGGGGCAAGGAATGCCCGAAACGTGTAAAAATACAATGAACACGTATCAACTGAATAAAATTTAATGAGAGATTTGCCAAATGTCTGAATAAATACAATAAATGATTTGTGTTCGAATTACTAAAAATTACTGGACATGGTTTCAAATATACCAAATTATTACTTATATTAATAAAGTAAAAAAAAGCAATTTACTAAATTTGAAGAAAAACTTTTATAGCAACATTTTTAGGTAATCTTATCTCAATACAGTAGATTAACAAATAATGTTCTCATTCTCACATAATGCAGATTTTACTTAAGAACACAAGAATTTAAAAACATTCCAATTCTATGTTTATTTTCTTATCAAAAATTAAACTAGAGATGCCAAAGAGACCCTGTCTGTATGCATTTGCAGATAAGAGGATACTGTTGACCAAAAAAAATCAAAATTTATTCATTTGAATTTCAATGTGATTTATCAAATCACCAGCAATACAATGCACGTGAATCTGTTAAAAATACCTTGTATAATACAATAATACAAATATAGTATATTATACTAGTTAGTAAAACAAGAAATTACAACCCGTACATAATTAATACTAATAATAATATTTGTAGATTCTCATTGACATCAGTCAACTGAACGTGTTATTGCTATTTGTCCAGCTTCAAGTAGAGCAGAATACCTTGGAAGACAATTCTGTGGTCAAAATTCTTTATTTAAAAATTATTAGAGAGTTAAACCTTTGCTATATGTTATAAATTCTACTCTGTCTGTTAGAAAAGCTCAACATGTACAGTTTTGAGATAAACCTATTCCAACTGATAAAACTTTTTTGAACAACAGATAGGAGAATAAACAAAATTTCTCATACTATTTTTATACCATAATTGATACTGCAATCCAAGAACCCTCAGAATCAAGAAAAATATCAGAAATTCACTGAAACTGGCAGTGAAGATTAGATATTCTGCAATCTCTGACAAAGAATCTCTAATCTTTAAATAAAACAAAATCTACAATATGATAAAAAAAAGTAATTACAATTCTCAAATCTGTCATTTCATGTAAAAATTCTTTAGAGGCGTAGAATGAATTTCCCTACCTTTCACTGAATCAACCTGAGAATGATGATATTAATCATCAGGCACTGTAACCAAGTACTGTACATCATCAGATTCTTACCAAAAACTAAAAATTAAAGTCAGTAGTATCCTGAAAACTTAAAATATTCAGAAAGCTTTAAGTAATTTCATTTATTCTATTTCAAACATATGAAATCTGAAATGATGTAACATTTGATCCCTTGTTAAATCATAAAGCATTGTTTTTCATCAAAATTTTCTTCCAAGGCTCATATACAACGTGTACTGAAAATTATGGCATTTCACCATTAAGATCAAATAATGCTTATAAAATACTTGTTCAAAAATTTACAAAGATATATTAAAACCAATAAAATTACTGACTAAAATGTTTTACTAATTATAATGCAAGCATTATAATTAGTAAAACATGGGCCTTATTGCACACAAGTATCAATCATTTGTCATAAAGGCTTGTGCCAAAAAACAGTACCAGATAAAACCACATAGCACACCATCCAAGATCAATTTTAGAGAAACAAATTGCCTACTCATCACTACACAATGACTTTATTGGAAATGATTAAATAAATAAGAATATTTAAAATTAAAAGAACAGAATTTAATACCAACAACTTTCTACCAGATTTTATCTAATATTTATAACATTTGGACGATTCACTGCTTAAAACGCCACCTTTAATTACATTTAATTTCTTAATATTTTCCCATAAATCCATTTCTCTGAAATGAAATGTACTTAGTTACATAACTAAATATGTTGAATTATTTTTTGAATGATATATATTTATACTAAGTCAATTTTTCAATGGTCTCACTATTGCTTCCATACATTAAAACTTATTATTTGCAGACGTTCTTCTTAAAATTATGAGAGTTTTAAAGGAAGATTAGTGGAACAAAAAGTAATAAATACATGGAATAAATGTTTATTTTCATAAATTTTTCTAAGAATGAAGAGAAAGTTTTAGCTAAGCATTCAGAATATGAATCTATTCAAATTCTTCTTTTATCTCCAAAATTATTTCCACCCATTTTATTATCTATTACATAAAATTAGTAAGTTATTGTTACTATTTTATATTAGGAAGAGCCCATTTTACAATTTTGAAATGCAAAAGTTATTTTTCTTTGCCAAAAAGTAAATTTAATGTATCTAAGATTTCTTTATATACAGGGTGTCCCAACGAAAACGAAACAGCAGAGATATCGCATTCGTCCAAGCAAATCGCTCGGACAGGCCGATTTTATTCTCAAGGGGGACATTTTCTGCAATGAAGTTTTTGCGATTCTGAATACAACAGACAACAAAATTTTTAAAAACTTATTCATTTTTTATTAACTAAACAAACATTTATTTCAAATAAAGTAACACAAACTATTAAAAAACATAAAAAAACCTTTTAAGCTAGACCGCATATGCAAGGAAAAATAAGTTGATCATAAAATTAAGGTTGATAATGTGTTATCTGTTTCCAAATGTTATAATACAGTATTTTGTAGTGTTCACATTAAGCTTGACCACATAGTGATTCAATTCGAATTTAAGATTATTATTTGTTTAGTCGGGATAAAAATCGTCTGGCACACTCATTTTCCCACGCTTTTAGTCGTTCGACAGACGATGTTGGTCACCATAGGAACGCTACTCGGACAACATCTGAAGACTCGATCGCTCATTAGTTAAAAGACATTTAGAATGGCCGGCTAGATCCCCAGATCTTAGTCCTCTTGATTTTTTTCTTTGGGGACATTTAAAAAGTAAGATCTATGCAACCGAACCAGGATCTCTTGAAGAATTACGACAAAGAATTGTAGACGAGTGTTCTAAAATAACACCCGAAACTTTCCGAAGTGTAAGAAACCGTTTTGAGCAAAATTTGTATTATTGTATGGAGGTTAGTGGTGCTCAATTCGAACATTTATTGAATACTTGATAACTTTTTCTTATTTTTCTTACTTTATTTGAAATAAATGTTTGTTTAGTTAATAAAAAATGAATAAGTTTTTAAAAATTTTGTTGTCTGTTGTATTCAGAATCGCAAAAACTTCATTGCAGAAAATGTCCCCCTTGAGAATAAAATCGACCTGTCCGAGCGATTTGCTTGGACGAACGTGATATCTCTGCCGTTTCGTTTTCGTTGGGACACCCTGTATAGTAATTTTACAATATGCTAATGTGCATAATATTCTTGTTAAGGTTTGGGGACCTTACAATGGGCCATAATAATTTAACAAGATTCCCATATTCTCAACCCTGTAAAATTTCTTAGTGAGAGGCAAGTACTCTGTATTTACAGTAAAACCTAGTTATTATGTTATCAGTTGATGCAAAGTAAATTTGCAATTCCTTGGACGAGGATAGGCATTTCAAAATTAATGAGTTCAATTAATGTGTGATACAAAGCACATTATAGTCCCACAAATTCAATAACAATTATATTATATTTTTCACACTATCAACTCCAACTGATGTCAAAAAACGAGCATTGATTCTTTAGTTCATTTTATCTCAAAGAGTATATTTTTGAGTTTGTTATTCTTTAAAACAAATCCAGAGAAAATAAAGCATAATGAGATAATTGGGGAAAATTCAGCCTTTATGATTTGATGGTGTAACTGCTGATTTTTTGTAACATTTGCTTAATATAAATCTTGTTACCACAAAACACTAAGTCCCTTCAACTTTGTATCAATGGGATTTGACTGTACAAACAAGAACATAAAATAGATATCTTGATGCTTAGGTCAAGAACACGTGTAAAATTGTGTTGTAGAAAACCAGAAATCAGCTTACGGTTCAGTTTCATGCCCGAACACACACACGTAAAAATTCTGGCCAAACAGGAAACGCCACTGCCACTAACAGTGCTATATTTTATTAATTTTTTTCTCCCATATATCTATCCCTTTGTACCTTTCATTTTTTCTCTGCTATAATTTAGAAAATTTAAATTAATAGACTTGTATTCTGAATTGAAATAAAGAACGTGTGATCTAAATACCATATATTGATTCTACCAGTCCTACCTGTTGAATTGGAGGAATTTTGGTGTAAAAATTTTATGTGCATAAAGAGTAGATAATACATGCTCTACTCTTTTTTCAGCCAAAATTTCAGAACAATTTTTACGCTTTCTGTCTTATGCATGCGTGTTCCTGATCTTACAATGTAAAAATGTTTTTTAGTAGCCACGAGCCAAATCCACTCTTCTTTGTCCTCTCCTATTAAACCCTTATTATTATTATTTCTTTTTCCCAGCATATAGTTAACTAAATACCCTCCAGCTGCTGTTTGTACCAGGTCACTAGTGAAAACAGAAAATTCTCTGCATATTTTACATATAATTCTGCAAGTTATAATTTATATTTAGCATTTTTCTTTGTAGTCTGCATTATTGTCAACTTATTTTTCTGGACACCAGGCTTTAAGTGTAAAATGCAATGTTTTCATATTTCTTCTCAGTATATAGTTTAATCCATAGCACAAAAAAACCCACCCTTGAACCATAACACCAGTAATGATCATGGTAGGATTGATGTTTTTTATCCTATCCACGAATCTTCTTTAGGTCAAAGTTTTGAATTGGAATGCTTTTCAAGTATTGCTGAAATTGACGCATTTTGAATGCATTTATAAATTTAAATTAGGTATGAGATATCATACTGAAGAAGCTGGATAGAATCAAAAACATTAGCTTTACCATCCATGATCAATATTGTGGATGATATTTATGGTTCAAGGTGTTTTTGGTGCTATGTACTTACATTCCAGTCTAGACATCTATTGGGTTGAACAACATAGTTTGATCCCAATTTTTAACATAAGTTTATCAGAACACATTCAAAATTTAAACAAATGTTAATTGATGGAAAAAATGGACATCTTTATGTGAATATCTTTTAAAAATATTTTCATACATCTACAGTATATACCTTAAAAAATTTTGAGACCACCTCATTTTCAGTTTCTGCAATTGTTTTAGCAAAGGCTTGGGATGAGAAAATTATATGCTTAAATAAATATATGCTTAAATAATATGCTTATATGCTTAAATAAATAAATTATAAAAGCTGAATGTAAATGAGTTAATTACATGTTTAAACACTAAAAAAAGGTAACTTTTGATAATTTAAAATTTTTCCAAACAACAAATTTACAAATCACCAATATCATTCAAACAAAATTAGCAATTTGAGTATAACTTTGATCTCTCTCTTCTTTCTCCTCTTAAAATTACACTGTATAGAGACTATTGTGTGTGCATTATTCTGTCATAAACAATTATTTCAGAGAAACGCAGATTTAATCAAAATGATAAAATTCGGTTAAATTATTGTTCTAACTGCTATAGAACAATGTTTGTAGAACTTGAAATCTTTAAGAAATTAAACTGTTTCTTGTTTATGTTAGTATTTGCATATTTGTAACAAAAATAGTTTATAAACTTTGAAAAACCTAATGAATCATATAAATATTTTTCTCTCTAGAAAGTTTCTACATTATGGCTTTGTTTGAATTACTGTGCATCTTTCCACAAAAAATAGACTACTGTATGATCTTCAGACACTGCACCCATCAGTATAAAATTGTTAACATACTATAATTTTGTATAATGCATAATAATAATATGTTCTTACTATCTTTTTCAACTACCTTCAAACCTTCTTTCCGTTTCCTATCTAAATGAGCTAAGTCAGTCAGTCAGCTAAACAACTGACTGCACTCTCACCCTCTTTTAAAATACAAATATCTTTTTCAACTAAACCATGCCATATTTATATAGATACAGAATAATAAGTACAGTAACTTTTTATATATTATTATTTCAATATATTAAATAGTCATTTGAAATAAAATATTAAACTAAATTTATCTATGTCAAAATAAAAATGAAATATAACTAGCCATGATTAAAGATTATAACCATAATGATTATAACAGCCATGATTAAAGATCATTTATCATCTGACAGTAATATTTTCTTTTTTAAAGAGTAATTAATAAAATACACAAACACTAATTTTTTTTTCTATTTCACTTTGCTTTGTTTGGATGCTTTTAAAACTAATTCATATATTAATAAAATATTAATTCATATATTAATAAAATATAATCTAATGAAAATGTAAAATGATTAAAAATGAATGACAATAATTTCAATGTTTAGTTTGAATACTTAGTCATGCATTTTTCTTCTTCTTTTAATTTTTGCTCTCTTTCAAAATTGACAGCACTGAACAAAATAACTTAAGTCTAATTCAGGTCTATTTTGCTGAAATTTCTTAATTTTCATAAACTTGAAATTTCACACATAAATGTAAAACAGGTTGAAATATTATTATGCTAGTTGTTTGAACTTCGTAATAATAAAATATTCTTTCAAAATCATGACAACTAAGATTAAAATAAAATAATAATAAAAAAAATTTAACTGACAAAATAAAAACTGCTCAAGTCACAATATTTGTTCGACCTTCTGCAAATTTCTCCATAAACACAAACTGTGTTAGATACTAGGTTTAAGATTGCATCATGTTAAAATTTAATTTAATATATCTTACCTGTGATCGGCCAACATTTCTCTGTGACTGTTGTGCTGTTTGTTGTTGGGACGAGTTATGTCCTGGTCTTTGAATAGGAGATGGATAATGTATCGTGTTTGTTGTACCACCATACTGAGCTTGATGTGGATTATTACGTACTACACCCTGGTAAATAACTGGACGAATATTTGGATTAGTAGCTTGAACATGATTATATTTTGGTTGGTTAAATGGATAATATTGTTGAGGAGATTGGGTAAGTCCATGCTGTGTTCCTTTACCACCTGTAACTGTGGGAGATTGTACAGTTAATCGCTGACTATTGGTTAATCGGACATTTCCAGGACTAGTGCAAGCAGCTACTTGTTGCTGCTGACCCATCTTATTGCTCATTCCACTGCTACTTATTTGAGGGACAGTCATTACAGAACCTGAATTTACTGTGGTAGTAGTAGTATTTCCAACTGCAAACATACCTCCTCGTGAACAAATACTGCTATCCATTGTTGGAGAATGAGAGCTACTGCGCAGTGTATCAGTTACACCTGTAATATTATTCATCACAGCTCCAGTAGCTTTAAATTGATGACCACCAAAGCTGCGAAAATTTTGTGTTGCTGGTGCAGCAGGAGTTAGAACATTCAATGCCGACTGAGAACTAAATCCTTGTTGCGATGGAAATTGGGGTGGTTGCTGTTGTTGCATTGGTGATCCTGGAGCTGTTAAAGGCGTAGGTTGTGGATAAAAATTAGTAGCACTTTGACCTTGGGCAGATGTAGAATAGTATGATGTTGCTGGAGCAGGCTGTACTGTTTGAATTCCATGAAGACTTTGAATATGTGGAGTTGGAGGTCCTGCAGGGCTAGGTGCAGGTCCAGGTGTTGGGCGTGTTTGAACTAACTGAGAACCCAACAGATGAGAAGTAGATAAATTTTGTTGGGCATTTACATTAAGAACCTAAAAATATAAAAAAATAAGTGTAAATCTAATTCTACATAATTTCTTTTCTAATTATTACATATAATAATAGGATTTGTTTATCCATTTATTTTCCATTAGTTTTGCTCAATGCAGAATTCTTATGTTGATAATTTTATATAAATAAAAAATCATTACCAGTACATTTAAAAAAAAAAAAATAATGTTTTATTGTTCTACTCAAAATATATTTAAAGAACTAAAAATAAACCAAGCAGTTTAATTACCTGATTTGATGACATTGATGTTACATGCTGTCCTTGGGCATAAGGAGGTTGTACTCTGTATTGACTTGAAGAATACAGATCTTGTGCTTGATGAGCAGCAGGTGGTGTTTGCATAAACATACTTTGCTGACCAAATGCATTTGAAAGTTGAGCACTTGCTGGTTGATGAGATAATCCGTAAGTTCCCAAAGGGGCAGCATAACCATGAGGAGTTTGTGAAAACTGTGCCATAGCAGCAGCTGCAGCGGCAGCTACAGCTCTGGATTGTTGAGTTAATACTTGGCTACTGTCCATTTGAAGGTGCTGATATAAGCCTGTTTGGGCCATCTGGAACAAATTTTGTTACTAGTTCATTATAATATTCATTCTCATTTAAACTAAGGTAATAATAGCTTATATTTCTAAATAATTCATAATAATAATAAATACCACAGAATTTGAATAAAACATTTCTTGATTGACAACTATGTAAATTATATCTTAATACAAAGCAAAGTATTTATTAATTATAACAGAAAACAACTGGTATTTTCCATATAACAATAACAACATGATATGTGTATATTTTTATTATTATAGATTTGCAACACTGAATGATATAATTTTGTAAGAACCTATGAAATTGAAACCTGAAATTTAAAACTAATTTTTAATCATTTTTAAACTGTTAATCAAAAACAATGTTAATGATAATAGAATTCTCTTTATTTTTAGAATCCTGAAATATTGATTTTTCTATTATCTCTCTCTAAGAGACTTTTTTAAAATTTACTTTAGTGAGAGATTGTAAAATTATCATTACCTTAATAGTAGTATCATAACATATTACATAGTTCCTCTTATTATCCTTTTTTCATTCCAGACATCGTTAATTTTATTAATTTTTGAAATAAACATTTCTTCTAATATCAAAAATGTAATAACTATCAATTTTTTAAAAAATAATTTAAAATCCAAATCAACATCAATCAACTATTATTAAATTCAAAACAAAAACTAAATTCTGACATGTTAATTAAACACATCAAAATATATCTACGAATGAAAAATACAATTTTTTTTCATTCATATTAGATTGAAATGTTTTAAATAATTAGTTCTGAACAATGTTTCTTAAGACTCATGTCATGTGATAAGTAAATTTTTTGCTGAATATCAAAAGTTTACAAAAACAAACATTTTCAGCTAACTTAGTTGTATCATTAAGCTTTAATCAAATACAAAGAGAAACTCAGACATTAACTGTAGTTAAGAGGCACATATATTTGAGTCAAAATAAAGCTTCTAATTTATGTGTGCCTTTAACAAGCTTGATGATTTTAATCAAGTTAATTTGCAACATTTTACATTCTTTATTATTAACTTATATTTCATAAAGTATAGCAAAAAAATTTAATACACGACATTGTAAACTATAAACATATTAAAAATATTATTTCATTCATTTAATTTCTGACATGTTTCTATTGTCCATATTGTATATTTTTAAGTCAAAAATTTTTTATTTAAAAGTTCTTTACAAAGAAACAAAATTTCAATAACATTTAATTCTAGTCATTTATTTTGATTTATTTATTTATTACATTAACTATTTTCATGTTACGTCAATAATACAAATAGTATAAAAAGAAGAAACTATTAAATATTACTTACCTGTTGAGAAGAATTGAAGAGAACTGTTGGAGGACTTGGAACTGCAGGTATACCTGCAACTTGAACAGAACTTGCTAATCCAGCCAATGTTCTGATTCCAATATTGGTATCAAGACCAATAGGTGGAGGACTAACTGGTCCAGTACAGCCAGGAATTTGATTATTTTGATGTGACTGAACCTGAGGTTTAACTTTACATATATTGGGTTCCATATTCATTACACCTTTTGGAACCAAACTAACAGGTAATGTATTATTTCCAGTTTGTTGTATAGATGGACTTGTTCTAAAAATAAAATATTTATTTTTGTATTGCATAAACGCAAATTTTTCTCAAAAATAAAAGCTTTTCTAAAAATACATTATATCTTTGTATGCAAATGAAAAACCTTAATGCCAGTTTCTTTAAATTATAATCTGATTTACATTATATATATATTGATACATAATTATTATTATTATTATTATTATTATTATTTATGTGAAAGTTTAATTTGAAACAAACTGAATATTTAGCCAAAATTAATAATTTTTAATACATTGCAGAAAACTGGAATTCAAAAGATATCAATCTTTAATTGATAAAATCAAATTTTAAAAATATATACAAAAATATATCTATCAAAATAAATAAACTAATGCAGGCTAAACAATCTATTATAAAAAACTAATGTTCATATATTGATATACACACAATAATGAAAACTTACCTGAAAGAAACCTCAGATGAATCAATGTTAGGGCAATCTTTCCTATTCTGACTATTATCAACAGTGCCATTCATCAATGGATTTGTACTATGATCATTATTACCAGAAAAGGAAACAAATGAATTATCAGAATGAGACACTTCCTCATTTGTGCCATTACCACTTTGTGGAGGATGTTCCAAAACGGTTGGCATTGGAGGTACATTCTCCCAAACCTGGAAATTTGAGAAATATTTATATCTAAAATTTTAAGGATAAAATATTTCATATTTATATATTTGTTTGTTATAATTTTAAAAAAATTTCTAAAATGTTTATTTTATCCACAATCATTAAGTTAAAACATCAGATCATCATCTAAAAATCCAAAAATTTATGTAATTTCTAAATTTTGTATTTCCATTAAGAATAAAAATAGACAAAAATACATAAGCAATTCTAAATTTTGTAAATAAGATCCATTCTTAGGTTCATTTGTAAAATGATTTTGTTTGTTGGGTCAAATATAACTGCTTTAGTAAAGAGCAAAAAGTAAAAGAACATACTGTTTATAAACTTTTACTCTTCAACAGCTTCATTATCTAATTCATGGTCCCCATTTTCCACATGTCTCCAAATGTAGACAACATAACAAAAGAATATATGATACTAAAATAGTAGGTATCTGTTTTTCAAAAATATGTTTCTAGAGAAAACTGAAAATTAATTTTTCTTCCCAAAATTGTAACATGCCAGACAGTTATGTACAATTGAAGGATCCAAGGGCATGTTCATTGTGATATTTGCTACAACAAATAATCATAATGGTTGTAAATTAAAAAATGCCAGTCATCTAACTTAATTTTTTAAATACAGAGGGAGGAAACAATACTAAACAGAAGAAATTTTTCTAATCAACATGAAAAAAAAAAGTTAGATCAAAAAGGATCAAGGAAACTAAACATGCCTGGGTGTGATTAAATAATTTTAACCATTAAAAGTACATCACTAACTTGCAAATTCATATAAAACAAACTTGTAAAAAATAATATAAATAAAAATAAATATTTTAAAAAGAATAACGTACTAAAGCATTTTTATATTATATTTGAAATTCAAGTTAATTTAATAAAATTTCAACTTGTAATAAGCTACTACTTTAATATTAATAATTTAAGAAAATCCAGAGATAATAAAATAAGCACAAATTAAAATCTGGAAAACAAATTCATCTGACAAATTGTACACCATATAAAACAAATTTTCTCCTCTTATCATATTTACTTGTATATAAGACGAGATGTGACTTTAAAGATCAAAATAAAGAAAATTAGATTTGTTAATACAATTCTTAATTTTATTTTGTTTAATCACAAGTAAAATATCAAATGAACTGCCAAAATTGCTGGCATTTTAAACTTTTCCTTAAAGTCTTGTAAAATTGACAACATTAATTTGTTCATGTAAAGCTGGACAATCAGGAACCTTTTTTTGCCAATTCTTAACAGTCAAATCCACTCTTCGTCAATTACACTTATGAGTTTCTCTGAATTCTGAATAATCATCTGTTTTCAAGTGGGAATGGATTAAAACCTATAATTGGGCTCCCGTGTGATTTTGGAATTTAAATCTGGAATTCAATTGAAATGCTTCGCCTTTTCTACTGCTATTCATCTTTTCTCCCGACAACATACAAGAGGGTAAGCATCCGGTTAGAAATGCGAATACACAATTCCCATTAATTATTTGCAAAAATGCAAAGAATCTTTCACTCACAACCCAGGAATTTGAAGTTGTGACAAATGAATAAAAACAACATCTTATATACGAGTAAATATGGTATTTCAAAATTAATTTATAAAACTCATCTATACTAATATTATAGAGGTAATGTTTGTAAGTAAGTAAATTTGGATGTAGCAGGTAATCTCTGAACTACTCATCCGATTTCAAAAATTCTTTCATCAATATTTAGAATGGAACTTCAGGGTGGACATAGGCTGTATATTATTCCGTAAACGTTCATATAAATTAAAAGATATCATCTAGAGTTAAGGCTTTTATGTCCAACAGATGGCACTACGAGTATGACGACCTAAGTTTGTTTTTCTGTAAGGATTAACTAAAGCAGATCATCTATTTATCTATATAAATAAAAATGTAACGTTTGTTCCTACCGATTCCTTTGAAATTTTGTCACAACGCTGCATTCGAATACGCACGTGTTTTTATATAATATACATGTCGAAATTCCCCCACTGGGGGGAGAGGGACAGGATTAAGGCTTACCGTGAAGAACTTGGCTTCTATTATACTATTTTAGATGCTTTTTTTTTTGCGTTTTAATTGGGTACATCAACAGAATATACACTAAAAAGGGATTTTTCGATATTCCCCATGGGGAGAGGGAGAGGGACAGGATTAAGTCTTACTGTGAAGAACTTGGCTTCTATTATACTATTTTAGATGTGGTATTTTGCGTTTTTGATTGCGTATGTTAATAGGATATGTCAAGAGAATGTACACTAAGAAGGGATTTTTCGAAAAATTTCCCCCCCCATGGGAAAGTGTTACAGATTTATAATATTAATAGATACATTTTGAGCCACAACAATGCGTGGCGGGGTCTGCTCGTATAAAATAAAATCAGTAAACTATGAAATCTTATAAACTTTGGTCTTAAAACCTCAAAACAACAACAGTTCATCCAACTTAAAAAGATCAGACTTAACAAAATTGGATAAACAACTTTACTCAAGAGAGTTTGGATATGAATATGCTCTTGTGATTGTAGCACTTTGGAAAAATTTCTAAATTAAATTAATATAGATAAATCTATTAATATTCAATAATCTTGTGTAAGTAATATGATTTATTTATATAATAATAATAAATTCTGCATTATAATATAAAAAAATATCTTACCTTTTTTACTGAAGCTATTTTCAAATTGAGTTCATCAGTAGAAGGTGAAATTGGTGATTGTACTCCAACACCTGGTGTACCGTTACTGACTTGCATGGTATGAGAAATTGAACTTGTAGTGGTTATTTTCTGTTCAGTTAACTGAGCTAATTCAGAGTCAAATGTAAAATCTAATTTCATATCAGATCCTTCTTCACCCTTGTAATAAAAAAGACATATTATGTTGATTTTATGTTTCATTTAACTCAAATTCTTTGTAATAAAATTTAAGTGATATATGCATTAATCAATATATTTTTATGCACATATACTGTAATGTACTGTTATATACTGTAAAACTTATACTATAATTTTAATATAAACTTATAATTTCTTTAATAATAGTAAAATATAACATTTTGAAAACAAAGCTGATTATTTTATATAATTAAAAAAAATGTATTTAAATAATATACTAATTACATATAATATATTAATTTAAACAAAGTTTGTCTCAAAAATTTAGATAATAATAATTTATTATTTGTGTTATATCAGATATGACTGTTAACAATAAAATATTTTTATATTAATTAAGTACATTCTTCACACCTTAGAATAATATCTGCTTCCTACAGCAGAAATAATAAAATGTCCAAATTGGATATTTCAACAGGACAATGATCCTATTCATTGTTCAAATTCAACCAAAAAAGACTTCAAAATCAAAATGTGAATGTGAATGTTATGAAATAGCCCACAAGAAGTCCCAATAAAAGACTTATGGCAGATCATGGTAAGACAGGTGTATGCAAGTGGCTGTCAGATTTCTAATGCTACAAACTTAAATGTGCAATTAAAAATTAATAATATAACCTGAAACCAGAATTGTTACAAATGCTCATGAATTCAATGTAAAATCATATGTTTGATGTTATAAAAAATAATGAAAGAACAATTAGCTGTTAAATAATTTTTTTCATATAATTTTTGACATTAACCAAAATTTTTGGGACAACAATGTTCAGCAAAATTTATATTAATTAGGTATCTTAACAGCTATTAAATTGTTGGAGTTATCTTTTTATTATTATTTAATGTGGTCTAATTTAATGATTAAATCAACTGAAAGTTCATTAAAAATCATTAAAAATCACTTTACCTTAACCAGGGATGTCCAACCTGCAGACCACTTAATATTTTTAAGCAGCCCACTGCAGCCTAAATTTTTTTAGGTATATTTTCATTTATTTTGATAAAATACGTCGTAAAACTTATTCTCGTTTCACTGGATACACTTTGATATCATAATGACATAACTGGTGTTAGAAAATGTTTTATATAGAGAACTATTAATGCATGTAGGGTAGTACGTACTGTTGTGAACAATTTTCATGCATTATAAACATCAAAACTGCTTAAATAAATAGGCTGAGTGATTCCAATTTAACTAACATTCTTAGCATTAAGATTAGTACCATAAAAGCAGATATTGACATTATTATAAAAGGAAGGCAATGTCAAAAATCGCATTCAATTTATTTTTATTTTGTGTGAGTATTTCTTTTTTTACTGTCAATAATAGTATTTTTGTAATAATATATATTTGTTATTAGAATTTCATATTCACATTTTGAACTTTTTAAAGCATATATTTATATAAAGTACCTTTGTGGCCCCTGCTGAATATACCTAAATTTCTAATTTAGCCCATTAAAAAAAAGTTTGGATGACCCTGACCTAAACTTTTGGGAGATATCTTATTTTATATTCATTCAAGATATATATCGCTATTTTTATTCCTCTCCAATGCAGAAATTCAGCATTTTATACTTCTAAACTAAAGTATATCATTTTATTGTTGTTCTGTATCTTCACTGTTATANTCCTATTCACAATACTGTTTCTAACAGATATCATTGGAAGCCTTCATCGTTTGATTAGGATAAGATTAGTATTTTGTATATTAAATAATTATGTAATTGATTATACTAACTAATTTTAATTAATCTAATAAATATATTACACTAATTAATTAATTAATAAAGGAGATTAATTATAAAATATTTTTATTAATCTTATTACGAAGTTTCATGAATCGCATATAAGAATTAGCTTGAACTTTTTTTTTTCGTTCAGTAAATGAATGAATTTAACTATTAATGAAAAAGACGAATAAATCAAAATAATGGAGTCCTGAAAAAATGTTAGAATGTTTATTATTTATAAATATATTTTTATATTTTTTCATATATGAAAGTTATCTTAAATTTCAGAGGTATTTAATTATTTCAACAAATTATATTATTTTTATTAGTTATTTCTTCATCTTAATCAATATAAGGTACAGTTATTTCTTAAATTTATTAATAAGAAAATCGAATTGAATTTATTATTAATTTGTTAGTTATTCAAATTATGTTTTTCTTAGAAGTTGATTCTATAACACAAACAATTCTGCAATGTATAAGCTCATCATTCGTTATGGATTTGCTTTTTCTTGTTATTTAATGTGTCATATAATCTACATATAATATTTATATATATATGGGGTAATATATATATATATGTATGGTGGTGGACGTATGGTGGGCCTATACATTGCAGAATTGTTTGCATTATAGAATAGAATAATTAACTTCTAAGATAATATATATATATTATTGGACATAAAAGTTTTATTGGACATACGAGTATATCGATTTAATCAAGAATCAAGAAAAATATGCAGTCTTTTAATTGTAAATTAATTTTCTTAATAGAAAATGACAATTAAAAGTACAGAGAATTATAATAGAAAATTATTATTTATTTATGTTTAATTATTAGTTATGAATATTTTTATTCTCGAAGTAGCATGATAATTTTAATTGATCAAAGATTTTAGAAGAAGCAAATATTTTAGACATTGTTTATCGGATTTTAAACGTAATTCACAGGTTACGTTCGATGCAATATTTCCGTCATATAAATTTAGATGTAATGATAAATTAAATATTTAATCTAATTCTAGTTTAACTTACACTAATATATAGGGGATTTCTATGTTATTTCATTTATTCTTATATAGAATATATACAAATTTAACTTTCCTAATTTAATTTTAGCAAAAATAGTTGCTCCAGTAGTATGTTAATAGCAAAAAATATTAAATTAAACTCTACTGTCGAAGAGATTGTAGAATAAACAAACTTAGAATTGCAATATGAAAAAGAACATATGTATAAAATTATGTTGTACTATTTATTAAATAAATTTTTCAATTTGCATGTGCTGATAAAATTTTTAAAAAAGAGCGTTATCTTAAAAAATAAATGTATAACACCCATTAAAATCACTTTAAAAAGAACTTTTAGAAACGATGTTATTGTTTGAATGACTTTCTGTAGAAAGGTACAAAGCATCTCATCCATTTTCAAATACTTCGTGACAAACAGTTTATATTTGAAGCGATTTTCGTGTAAAAATAAAAAATACAGTAAAAGAAAAATTGAGTTTCGGTCTTCGTTCGGTTTATGCTTTCTCAAATAATAAAATACATAGTGATAAGAATTCCTTTTTATATTCTGCAATATGAGAAAAGAAAACATTTATGTCCTTTCTTTTATTATTATTAACACGTAAAATAAATTGTCTATTATATTCATTTATTTAGTTAATCATTATAAACTTATTTCTGTTGTGTACAAGATTAGTATTTTCTATCGTTTAGAAAGCTTAACAAAAATCGAATCTAATAATTAAATTTATTTTTAATCATTATAAACTTATTTCTGTTGTGTACAAGATTAGTATTTTCTATCGTTTAGAAAGCTTAACAAAAATCGAAACAAATAATTAAATTTATTTTTATCACCAAAATTCTTGAAATCAATCTTATCATTTAGGAACAAGACTTTTCAAAACAACAGGCTAACATTCACAAACTTACCAATTCATTACAACATTCAGTTGACGACACACTAACAGTTGTAAGAGGATTTTTAGGACCAAGTATTTTGCAATCATTACTTGGTGATGATCTTTGCGAAGAAGCTGCAGAAGTCGGTTGATCACTCACATCAATGCCACTGTCGTGCTGATCACTTCGATCAAAACTACTCGATTTGGAGGATACAGTTAAGGCTTGTATTTCAGTAATAACAGTTGTACCACTATTTGTAATTGTGCTACAAGTAACAGTTCCAGTTGTCATTCCATCAGAAATAATGTTCTGCCCTATGCTTGGAGAATGTGCTCTTAAAGTATGGGTAATAGGTTTTTGCCAAGCATTCACGGGTGGTGGAGGAGCTGGTGCAGCATCTACAATATTTTAAATTTAATATAAAATATTAAATGTAATACCATATAAAAAAACGAAACTATTTTATTGTATATTATTGTATATCAAATTACAAGAAGGAATTACTGATTTTTAAAGAATTTTAGAAATTAAATTGATATCTTGTTTCTTTAATAATAATACATTACCTTTAAGTGAAAAATGGACGGGATGTTTAGCATTAGACGTAATTTCTGTATCCCAGATATTACTAGTATCTGTAGGAGGGATACCAGACTTGGAATGAAACTGATTGTTCTCCCTTTGTTTAGCCAATCTAGGTGGAAGTCTGTTTTGTCGAAGCCTCGAACCACTTTTATTTCTACTTCGTGGCTGGATAAAAAAAAATTGCAACAGAAATAAATATTTAGTATATATTTTAATATGTTTTTTATAAATGTATTATTTCTGTTTTATTCAGAGATATGGAAAATCATTTTATTTCATTGGATTGACAGATATTTTATGATCATCATACTATATTTTAAAAATTCAATAATTTTATCAAATCTTTGAAATTCTTAAACATAAAAAGAATTTTATGTATATATAAAAAATTGTTTAATATTTAATCAAAAATCAATACCTCTTTTTTAATTTTCTTGACATCGTTTTCAACCATTGCCTTATGTCTTTTTTTAGATGTAACTTCTTGAAATCCATCATCTGCATCACATAAAAATGAAGAGTCATCTACAGTCACTTCTGGTTGATCATCTATGATTACTACACCTTACAGTACAAAAAAATTACATATATATTTAGCTGTTAAACTCTCATTTATAAATAAAATATTTAAAACTTTAAAGAATTTCTATATAATTCAGTCATATGTATTTCAAAATAGTTTTTTGTAGTTGATTTTAGTATAAAAATTTATTATTATTATTATTATTATATCATTAAAGTATTACTATATTTTTGTAAAATTTACACTTATTCTTTGTTACTAAATGGTAATTAAACCATTCAGTTTGAACATTTTTAAATAAAATCACATCATACTTAATCATGCTATTCTAAATAACCAAGCAAGCAAATATTGAAATTATGAGTTGCTTCAACAAATCAGTTCAACCATTATTAAATATTAAAGTTATTTAAAGCTAAAATATGAATATAAATTAATTTTTTAATAAAATATAGCAACATTTTTATTTTCTTTTATATTTGTATTTACAGGTCTGTTAAATAGGGATAGCTACCATATTTGTCTTGCAGCATAGCTAATCCAGAAATATTAAAAAATTATATAAGCCAGTATAAACTAAAAAAAAAAAAAAAAAAAGAATGTCACTTCTATTTTGTATTAGTCTCTTCCTAAAAGCATTTTATACTTCATAACAAAAGAAAATATATGATGTTTTTAATATCTGCAGTTTAAAATGAAGCTTTAAAATTGTACCCAAGTGATGTCTTTAAAAACAAGAATATACATGGTGAATTAATTTGAGAAGAAAACATTATGACCATATAAAAGAAATTTACAAAAATGACCAAGTAAATTTTCAATATCTTAGGCAAGTTTTAAATATATAAGAATGTCAAGATAATAGAAAGGTCAAGACCTTCATTTTCAACATGAAAACGTGTACATCTGACATTCAGCACTGCCTTCCTGTAATCCTAGAGGTTTGACAATGGCATTTGGAACGTCAGTGGAATTATGGTCAATGTTCCAAATGCCATTGTCAAACTTCTAGGGTCACGGGAAGGCAGCACTGAACATCGACGTACACATTTTCGCATTGAAAACATCGGCTGCAACCTCTCTAATATCTATTTGAATTTGATTAACTTAAAATATATAAATAATAAATTACAAGTCACTGAAGATAATTCTGCTTTAGTTCTAATCATTTGAATTTTATCAATATCCATATTGAAGGATGTTCAAGATTGTGATGTTATCAACAGAAAGAAAAATAGAATTTTTTTCAACTTTTATCTCTAGCTAAAAGATAACAGAAGTACATCACTAGTAATATGTAAAATGTTGCACACTAAACCAATTTAGTGTCATTTTCTCTTATTTTCCATTCTCATGTAGTAGTAACTGACTTTAAAACTATAATAACTAGTATAAACTTAAAACATTATTGTAAATATTTTTCAGTAATATTATCTAAAAAGATTATAAGATATTACCAAGCTGATAATGTTTGTCATCAACATATTGGTCACTTTACTCTGAAACATGTCATACATGTAATATGATCACATTTTATGAGCATATTGTAATTCCCTATTATCTATGGCAACAATGAACATGTTAACATAAATTTCACTATATGAGAAAGTTTATGGAATTTAAAAATTTTAGCTCACTTACTTGCATAATTATTGAGATCATATCCTTCTAAGGCATTAGATTTTTCTTTTTCTGGTTTATTAGGCTTTGGAGATGGAGTAACATCAGATGGTTTCAAATTTCTGTAGGAATATTAAAAATGAATTTAATAAAAACTTCTAAAATAGTAACGAAGAATAGTAATGAAAATAGTAATTGCATTAATACTGTTGTAGTATCCCATCCAAAAATATTAAATAACTATCAGAAATTTAATACATTTTTATGTAATCTTGCATATTCCAATAATAAAGCTGAAACCAATAACTTATAAAATAAATTGATATTCACATTTTTCCAGCAAAGAATTTATTCAGTAAACAAACATTTTTGTTTTAATAAACCTGAAGCAGGTTTATATAACAAAGCACTAATATTTCAATTTCAATGTAATCTACAAAATTTACAAAATAATAAAATTAATGAAAAATATAGTATAGTACTCAAAAATTACAGAATAACCTCACTAAAAAATAATTGAGAAAAAGCCTCGTCTGAAGTAGCAGAGCTTTTACTCAAATGCATATTGTTTAATCTGAAATGCACTTTAAAATCAAATTTTATTGTGTACTTTAAATGAAAAATTAGCAGCTTGATAAACTTTTCACAGTGAAATAGTATTATCAACATTGTCCCTGTCATTGGCAACGCTCACTATTTGAGCTTAAAAAAAGGCCTAGATTATAATTTTAAAAAATTCATTATTTTAAACAAATGTATAAAACAATAGTCTGAATTATCACAATTCCAAATTAATGAGGGTTTTACTGTATTTATTGCAGCTTTTTTAAAGAAATGACTTATTTTGCTTTGTTTAAATATTTTTCTTTTTAACTCTGTTAAATATCTGACTGCCATGAGATGAGAAATCTGCTTCATGCCACATTTCTAACCATGTCAATGCTGTTTCTAATGCAAAGTGAAGCATTAGAAACATCATTAACATACTTTAAGAAGCCTGTGACTCATTACAGTACAAATAAAAAGGGATGATTAATCAGTACATTTTTAACCTGCAAGTTACTCAGTTTTAAGTATCTTAGTTACTTGAATGTTGACTATTGGATGTATATGTATAGATTTTCCTAGATAAGTTATTTTAGAATACATTTACTGTATTCACATTTATTGTGCAATTCAACAACAATAAACGTAAATACAGTATACTCCCAATTATATGAGCAAATAACCAGGAGGCATAGATAATCCATAAGTCTGTTTTACTGAAAGCCAATCAATTTTTCTTTTATTTAGTCCCTCATTTCATATTAAATTTAATATAATAGTTTATATATTATTAATAAAATGCACTTTGAGAACACTAATTAATTAATTAATAAGGTTTAGATGTAATCAGAGTTGAATACAATTTTTGATGCAAACAAAAAATTCAGAAAAATTTATTGAACTAGCACCTGAGTGATGCAAGTTCAATAAATTTTCACAATCAACTTCTCATATTATTAACTGAGACAGGTTGCCAGCTAGATATCATCATAAAACATCATTAATTTTGCAATATTAATGATATATATTAATGATGAATTGACAAGGAAATAATTCAAAATATTTTCTTAAAACAATTTTACAACTTATTTAATAATACTGTAATAGTAATAATAAGAATAGTGTAGACATAAGCCAATCAATATTGTTCAAGGATCAACTTTATTTACTGTACCAGTTAGGTCATTTAATTTGTGTGTTGACTTTCTGGTAATAGTTCTGATGTTCAACATACTATTAAATAACAGGAGTTAACAGTGCATGTTTTTTTAAATTTTAATTCTAATATTTGTATTCTTAGCATATATTTTCATGAAGACAAACATGCATAGATAATGAAGATTATACTTTATTTAAAAATGTACTTTTAACTTTCTTCAATGTTATTGTAATAAAACAATGTTAAGTGAGTGAGGAGGAGTTGTGCTATTATAATAATGAATGTTACTGAAGCAAGTGTTAATATAAAGTTTGGAAAAATCAATTCTTAAAATGTTGTGTCATTTGTTTTTTGTATTGTATAATTTGAAAGGCATATATGTTTACAGAAATTTGATGAAATGCCTTCATTGACATTTTACCAACAATACATAACTATAGATTAAAAGTTGTTTCTCAGTAAAAACAAAATCTTGTGACAGTTTACCGATGTGGAAATGGCTGTTGTTGACATCAATAGAGAACGTAAATGGAAGTTTTAATTAATGCAAAACAAATTGTGAATAATGGGCAACATGTTTTAGTTTATGCTAGACTTATCTGTAGATTGCATTTCCAATACAAATCATCATTTACTTTCTTTTTCAGATTTACATCTTAATATGCAGGACGTTCTTATTAAAATAAAGAGATTTTTTAAAATCAATTCAATTAACATATTTTAATCAAAATAACATTCTTGTACATTAGCCACAAATCGTCAGTGAATTTTGCATTTGATAATATCAATGTAAATGACTGCAATTGATAGTTAATGTTCATGTTTCAAGAAAACAAATTAAGATGAAGTTTTTATTCATTTTTCACTGCTTTAATAACCTAGGTCGTCCTGTACACGAGCAAAGGATTCTTTGCATTTTTACAATAATTTTTGTGAACCGTGTATAGTTCACATACTGCCATTATAGCAGGGTGCTATTGAGGTCAAGGTGAATGTCGCTTTCAAAGAGATGATCCGAAAATAGCTGGGGCCGTATTCTGGTCATTGTCTCTCGTCTCTCACAAGCCGGTCGCTGATTGGCTAATAATTTGTTTACATCTTGAAAGATCGTCACATCTCTCTAAACGCAATTCCGGACAAATTTCTCTCTCTTTGCTTCTGTCATTTGTCAGAGATGAGCGAATAGCTGTCTTTCGCCTCAATTTCATTATATCCAATATGGACACTGGATGCTACTCACATCGTACAATCGTATTAGAGAACCTTCTCTACTCAGGAAAGAATATTTCGAGAGAGAAAATGCTTCTGATTTTTTCCAGTGCCTACTCACAAACATCACTGATTCCATTTTTTTTAAATTATTCTACATCACTTACTAAACTATGTAATATAATGTTAATCTTACTTAGATAGTTAAGGAGAAATTAGATAGTAATATTTTGAAAAATACCTAAGTACGCACGCTTTTCTAACTTAGGTTATTAAAATTTTTATTTATTAAGAGACAAATTGACATTACAATCTGTAAAAACATTATAAAACAAAAAACAAGTTCGTCAAAATTACGTGCTTTATTTGAACACGCGCTTTCCTTGTCATGTGATCTATGATTACATACTCTGCATTTTCGAAAATTTACAATTTTATTGGTTAAATTTCTATACCGTGTTGTGCGCAGAGATAACCCGAACATGTATAATCAACCAAATAAAATTGTGATGTCAACAACAAAGACGAGATCGTTATGAACAACCAGAACCACCACTGTGTATGAGAAACGAATTTCGTCTCCCACTTTGACGTCATTCGTCAATGAAAGAAGAGATGAGAGCTAAGTGACCAGAATACGGCCCATGGTCACTTAGCAATGATTATAAATGTAGTTATTTCATATTTGTTAAATTGGTATTTTTAATGAATATGGTATTTTAATGAATTCTGAATCATTAAAAATAAACTTTTTTCAATCGTGCACATTATAAATCTTTTGGTTTTGCTATGTAGGTATCAGGTGCATGGAAAAAAATTCCTCAAGAGCTGATAGCAAAGTCATTCAGGAAATACTGCATTTCAAATTCACTCGACAGATCAGAGGATGATGTTTTGTGGAGTGAGAATAAAAGAGAGGAAAGTTGTAACAAAGCTTCAGAAGGTGCGTCCAAGTAGACAAAAAGTGATAGTGTCAAGAAAACATGGTTGTTTACTTTAATACATCCATTTGATATTTTATTTGTGATTAAACAAAATAAAATTAGAATTGAATTAATAAATCTAATTGTTTTAATTTTGGTCATTAAAGGTTGATTAAAATCACGATAAAATTTTTTTTGCGTGGGTAAAAATTTTTGAAAAAATTTGGAGACTTAAAAAACATTCCAAAAATCAAAAAAAAAATTTCCAGGAGGGCCTACAAGACCGGTTTTTCGTAACGCTATGGGACATGCTCGAGTCAGACTTGAGCGGAAGTCAGACTGTGCAGAAGGGGTTTTAAAGTCGCATCTTGTCCTATTGTGAGATTTGTCTTATACACAAGTAAATACAGTACAGTCGACCCCCCCATAATACTGTTGATAATTCCGTTTTATATAAATTCAATGTTGTACGAGTAACTTAGATTTTACAAATACGTGAGCTGTTCACAGCCCAGCACATGTATTTGTAAAATCTAAGTGACTCATACAATATGGAATTCATATAAAATGGAATTATCAACAGTGTTATAGGGGGGGGTCAACTTTATGTATTATTTACTAAGTCTAAATTTTGGGTTTTTTTAGTGACAAATCACACAAGTCACTTTAATTAATTTAATCGATATAGGCTTTATTGCTGTATTTGGAGATGCATTTTCGGTTTTGATGATCCCTCTTCAGTCATTTATTTTAATAAGATTTGTAAAATAATAGTAGTAAGTTATCACACACAGGGTTTATAGAAATTATTTACAAAAAATTTTTACTTAAATTATTCGATTGTTAAACACAGATTGGAATTAAAATTGGGCAATTAACTGGATATATTATAAAACCTAAACTAGATTAAATTTAAAAAAAATTAATTTTATTTATCTAGTTTAAATTTATTTTATACAGCTTGTTTTTATAATATATCCAGTTAATTGCCCAATTTCAATTCCAATCTCTGTTTAACAATGAAATAATTTAAGTAAAAATATTTTGTAAATAATTTCTATAAACCCATGTGTTTGTGTTATAACTTATTCTTATTATTTTACAAATCCTATTAAAATAAATGACTGAAGAGGGATCATCAAAACCTGAAATGCATCTCCAAATACAGCAATAAAAAGCCTATATCAATTAAAGTTCCTTGTGTGATTTATGTCACTAAAATAGCCAAAATTTAAGCCCAAAATATTTGCAGAAACAGGCAACAGAAACTATCAATTATAAATAT